TGGTTGGTTTTTTTTTAATTAAAGTTTTAAACCGTTAAGACCTTTTTTGTTTTTCCGCTTTTTGAACGACACAACAGAAGTCATTACTGTTCTTCAAGGCAGGTAATGGTATCTGTATACCAAGTTCTACGCAGTACAAAGCGTCAATGAATCAGTTTGGTGAAGAGCGATGAAAATAATAAATTTTAATACTGTCTTATGAAAATTTCACAATAGTTATTTGAAATAGTTACACTTTAAAGCGAATAATTTTTGGTCTACTTCCGAAATTTTTCGATTTCTGTAAGCAGTCAAGTCTACTGTAAAATTCAAAACAAGAGTAAAAAATTTATTATATAAAATTGTTATTCTGTTAAGCCATAGGTGATCAAGTCGCAAAAAAAATTTTTTAGCTTTTTTTTTCCACCAGACACTTCCAAAGCCTGTCGTTTAATTCTAATTCAGAAAGTCGTACAAATTTAATTTTGTATGAAGTTTGAAGTGCTGTCTTTCCTACCTCAAGAGCTGCAAGAATATATTAAACGGTATAACGATTTAACGAAGATACGTGCAATACAGACCTTTAAACGACATTACAACAAATCAATTAAATTTGTTAAGAACGTCTTAGGTAAAATTTTGCTATGTTAAATAGATATTGTTTCGTATAAAACAGGCTGTAGAATATAGAGTTACATTTAGTTGCTCTAGAGTAAAGACCGATAAGGTACTTAATAAAATTCTTTGTCTGCCGTAGCGAATTGCTTTGGCAGCGAAAGCGACTTGGACACGAAACTTCAATTAATTAAGCTATGAATTTCTGCTTCTTTTAATTTGTTTAGCTGTAGTCTCTAACTGGTTTTCAAATTATTTCTTTATAAAATTACATCTGCTCTAACTAAAAATTTTACAACTAATTTTTCTAAAATTATTCTGACTTTCAAAGTGAATTTACAAAGTTTCTAGTTTTGTATATTTGCGTCAAACCTTCGCGATGCGCAATAATAACTATCAAAAAGAGCTTTCTTCCAAAATTATATTACCCATTTGTGCAAAATGTTGAATAAGCGTTATACTTTTAATCAACAAAATGAACCGCAATGTTACAACCTTGACTTTTAGCAAGGAACCAATTTCTCCAAATAACTTTCTGTTTTTTCGACCCATGTCCAGCTTCTAATATCAAACAAGATGAAAAAAATTAGAAAAATTGCTTTAAAAAGTGCAGATGAGCGTGAAATCGCGCAAAAACTTCCAAAAAAACCCAAAATATTGTAAAAATATAGTAACTTTTTTCAGTAAACCTAAATTCTTTTTGCCCGCTTTTTAGTATAATTACCATTATTCCTATTATGTAAATTAAGTTTTTCGCTTACATACAGGATGCTACAGCTGATTAAAAAAGATCTTCTCGTTTTGCACCTGTAAGCATTTGAACTGATAATGAAAAACTAGTTGTGAACATTCTAAGTAAATTCCAGAGCAAGTAAATATCCTAAAAAGTTATCATTAGAACAAGGAGTTAACTGATTACAATCAATTAAGTAATGATACATAAAGCGAAAAAAAATCTTTAAACAAAATTTTAATTCTACAGATCTCTAGCTAATATTAGAATATTTGACGTAACATCAAATAAAGCTTTGAGTTACTCTACTATTCCAATTCTTAAACCTAGGCGAGGCACCCTTAAAAAGGAATTACTTCAGCTGCAATGACAGATATCCAAAAATCTGCAATGCAGGTCAAAAAGAACTGTACATTAATTTTATAGCCATTAGATTTTTAATTCTATGTTTGATAACAACCTTAATTATACTTGTTAGAACGATTTCTAGTTCTAAACTTTACTAATTTAAAAAATGAGTAAACTTTACAAGCAACCAGACCTATGGTCTGTAAGAAATGCATTTTTTTTAATTTTTTGCCAGATATTTCAGGTTTGATTTATAAAAGCACAATTAACATTATAACCGTAATTTTATTTACACTTACCTTTAAATATATCGCCTATAATTCTCTCTTCACTCTAGGCTTTAGTTATCCTGATGACGTCACAAGAGACCACCACCTTTATAGGTAATGGTTTTATAAAACTATTTTTGCAAAAAAATTTTTCTTACCACAGCAAAAAACTTGAGTTACATCAAAGCAAAAATTGTTCCAAATACGCTTCACCGTTGCTATTCTATGGTTTATTTCACTTTCCTGCATTTTTTTCTCATCTTTTCTTTGCAGATCATCATCAACATATTGAATCTTGAACGTTAAATTTTTCATACATTTGGCAAAACGAACATAATGCTAATAACCAAAGCTTCTTAGCAGATTGAAACTTAAAATTTCCCAAGTTTCTTTAAAAATGGAAACGAATCGCGTTTTGGACTTCTAATAGCATATACGACTATCATTTCTAATTTCTCAATTAATGTCTGTGTTACGGGAAGTCTGATGGAATAAACACAAGCATGAGTCGTTCAATAGCTACTTTGAAAAGCCACAGAGATATATTGCTTTTATTAATAGCACATTATTTTCTACCTAGTTTTGTACTTCACTATCAGTCATCGGCGTGTAACAACAAATTGTTAAAATCAGCAATTTTCAATAGCTTTTTTTAATCATTCCGTTGTTTAACATTTTCATTATTTGTTGCAAGAAAGTAGGAAAAACTCAGGAATTCTGGTTATTGAGAACAGCAATAAAGTTCTGAAAAGATAGTATCCAGTAACTAATAGATTTTAGGTGGAAAGCTTACTGCGCTAAAGCGTTTAAAATATCAGCTATTATAAAGATTCCACTGAAACTTCTTAAGCATGCTTAAGTGATATAAGACAACAAAAGTATGCAAATTTTCAGGTGGGACCAATTTTTGTACTGCTTTTTTATTATCTCCTTTTTGTTCAAAAATACTTTGACCTTTTATCTTGAAGCCAACAGTCAGAATAAATAAAACCGCCAAAGCGCAGAAACATTCTTGAATAACAGATTGTCATAGGTTAAAAAAGAAAAGGTGGAAAAAAGCTCGATCTGTACTAAAATAAAAAGAATAATATTTTGAGCTACAGCTGTTGTGCACAAGTACCTATATGTCAAAGTCTCGGTTCTTTTAACGAAGAGACAAATTTAGTTATTCTCGTGAAAAAAGTAGATACTGAAAAACTTTTCGCATTTTACGCAACTTTCCTCTTGGAATTCGTTTTAAATCTTTATCTAAAGTTTTGCTTTTCTAGCACGGAAAATGACGAATGCAAGTTTGTAAATCATCACTTTTCAGGGACACTGCAATACAGGTTCTAGACACTTAGGAGACAAATAATGAAAGAGTCAATAACCTTTTTAAAAAATGGAATCAAAATGGTAAGAAAAAAGTGAAAACAGAAAATAACTGAACATACTTTAAAGAAAAAAAGTAGCAAGAGCTAATTTTTGAAAAAATAGTGTGCCGCAGTTATGAGTGATGCTGATGCTTCTAACAACCCTCGGCCGTTGTTATGCCATCAAATATATCGTTATTTCTACGTCACTGGATCATCATTTTAAACTGTTCAAGTGTGCTGTCGCCGGGGTGAACTTGCTTTCTAAATTGCCTTTTCAAATCTGCTTTTAACAAACAGTTTGTTAGCACCTAAAGAACAATTTATTCTCTGAAATTAGTTAGTTTTTCTCTTGTTTTGCTATCTGACTAAGAGAGTGAAACATTTATGATGTTGCCAAAGCTTACACCTTTAAAGAGGCATATCATACAAGTTTAACATAGTTTGCTATACGCTGCCCTCTTCCACTAACCAGCTGACATTGTAACTCAACGTTCTCAGTAGTCTGTCTAAAGAAAAGCTTTTATCTTAATTATATATATATATATATATATATATATATATATATATACCCTATAAAATAACCAATTTAGTACAACCAGCTCTATAATTGTAAAAATATGAGCATATTCTGCTGAAAAATTATTTGAATTTATATTTAGAAATAATAATAAAGCTTTCAAAACTGGTAAACTGGAAACTACTCCATGTTTTAAAGATAATTTGTTTTAGGGTACTTGGTTGTTGACTTGTTTACATACCATTTGCAACAGCTGACAATTGCATATCTGAAATAACGGTCATTGTAGCTAACAATGAAAGGGGAAAAGAGGTAAATGATTACACTTAAAATTCTTGTTTTTCTATATCTCAGTTAAATAATTATTAAAAGCTGACAGCAAGTAAGTGCTGGACAAGGAAACATCTATTTAAAACGAATTTTGCTTCTAAAAATTTTTGCGGAGTAGCAAGGTCTGGTCTCACTAAATACGAGTCAGTGCGCATAAATGTCTTTCATTTTAATGTGTATTTTTGTTGTGATTGGCGGTGAGAAAAAGAATTTGAAGCACCATGAGTATAAATGATTGTCTGCAGAAGCTGCTTGTGTTCTGATGTCTGTGTTCAAGTTGGCGAGTCTGAGAAGATTAGCCTTTTGTTTTTTCCAGCAGTTCTGAAACTGCAAAGATTGCAGGAAAAAAAGATGAAAAGTATTAGAAAAAGATACGTGGAATGCCACATTTGTGTGACTGCTGTTCTGCTGTATACCAACCAACAACTATATGCCCTTCGGCTTTGACTGTTAGTGTTTTGGCAAATGCACCGATATTCCCTGTGTATATATGTGAGTGTTCTGTTAGTATTTTGAAAAAACATTTCTGTCGGTCTGCTCAAAATTTTTATCCACATTTCTTTTTCTAGAGCTTCTCCTTCCTTTGCACGGTTCGCAATTCCTCTCTGTGTGGTGTTTTAAAAATAGCTTCACGAACAGGGCGGAGCTGAAGGAGAGGAAAGAAAAAGCTGAATTTTGTTGGTGATAAAGCTTTGCGGCAACACTCAGTACAACACACACTTTAACTTTAGCCAGAGGTACTTTCTTCAAAAACCGATTAAAGCTACCACTATCATCATCAGCAGTAGTATCAGTATCACCACTGTCATTTTAACTACTGTCTGCCGATCACATTTATTAAATCCCAAAGAGCCATGTCTGACGTTGAAGATGAACGCATTTCTGGAAATGAGGAAGAAAACGCGGAAAATGAGGAAAACGAAGAGAACGAAAAACCAGTAAGAATTAGTTTACATTGTAGTATACCTTTTTGCATTCCTGACTTACTGCTATTTCTACTAATTTTGTGCCTTTTTCTTGTACCTTCCTTTTTTATCTAACTCGCCTCTCTTCCTCTCTTTTTCCTTAGTAAAAATTTCTGTTTTCCTGAAGATAAAACAGCTAGCATTTCGTTGTTCTCTTCTTCTTCTGCTTTTCACAGCAAACTTTTTAAAAGTAATAATATAAACTTTGTTATTATTGCTTTATAATCTGAAATAACTTTTAAGTTAATTTATTTTTTATTGTACATTTTGCAGTAGTAATCGGCTCATTCAAACTTTTCCTGCTAAGTTTTTTGATAGCATTCTAATTTGAAATTTTTTTGTAGAAAAGCAGAGATGTTTAAAATGCTGAGTGTTATATTAGGTAGGAATTATTGCTTTATTCAAATTTTGAGGAACTTTATGACATAAAGTATTACCAAATAAGTGGTAAGTGTAGATTGGTATAAAGCAAAAAAGGTGGGGCGTTACAGTTACGCTTTTTGTTATATCACTGTTCTAAGTTTTCTTAAGTAATCATAACTGAAGCCAGCTTAACTTTGACTTTGGCAGGAGGAGACTGAACAAGCTAAGCCACCATCAGTTGGAATAAAAAGTCCAACTCCTGGACGTGCTTATAATTTGCCGGCCCAGCCAAAATCTGTTATTCGAAAAGCTCAGATGTATTCAGCAGGAAAACCATCAAAACATGATAAATCTAAACTTATGCGCTCTGAAGGAATCATTCCCATTCAAGCCGGTTCAAACAAATATGCTTCGCAGAAGGGAATGACAGGTTTCCTCGGCAATTTCACTTAGTTTCGACTGGTTCTTGTAGCTAATAATTTGTCGCTAAACTTTTACAGTTTAACAGACTAAAGCTGTGGCAGGGATTAATTTTTGATACTCACTAAACTTTTGCAATCTATAAATGCAGTAAGCAATTAATTTTAAGGGTTTGGTGCTCCTCGAGACGTTATCGATAAAGTCAAGGCTGATAACCTTAAAGAGATAACTGACGAAGAAAAAATCAAAAATTTAAAGCAGTCTACTTGGCTACAGTCTGGTACCAACAAGTTTGCTTCCCAGAAGGGTTTGACAGGTACGCAGAAACATGTTTTGATGGAATTGTTCTCAGCAATTTACTAATCTTAATCTTCACAGATGAATGGGACTTCTTACTCGTAATGAGCAACTGTTGCAATTTAACAACCTTTTTTTGATTGAAAATTGACTTGAAGATCAGGAAAAATTTTTCAAGCGCAGAGGGAGAAATTAGAAATTATGATTTTATTTTAAAAAGTTTGTGTGGTGATGATATATATTCAATAGGCCTAGCACTGAATGAGCAAGCAGGGCGAGTCATCTATATGAGAAAAGCCTGCACGCCCCCACTGTTTGCCCAAGCAACAACTGTTTAGCTGCTTTCAAATCTTTAGCCTTTCACTTCTTTTTACTTTTCTCAGTCCGCCGATGATCTCATTTTCGACTTGCAGTTTTTTCACTTTTGACTGCCTTTTCCCCAAGTCTTTCTGATTTTAATTATTGTGTACGGTTAGCTGGTTCGTACTACTGTTTTAAAAAACAAAGGAAAATTAGTGAGCACCTTAGTTCGAAAAGTTTAAAATTTTTATTTCGTTTTTTTTTTCCGGTATTTTTCATCAATAATGCCATAAACCAATTAAGCATGAATTGCTTTGTTCTGATACTTTTGTTTAATGTAGTCGACCTGCATACATGTAATTAAGTAAATAAGCAAAATTTATTATCAGATGCCAGAAATTAGCAGAAAAATGGCAGTAGATAAAGTTTTTTAGGTTTCGGAACTCCCCGTGATGTCAACTACAAAGCCAAAGGAACTGGTGGAGCTAGTGAAGTACCAGAAGAAAAAGCTCGGCTAACTGACGGTATTGTACCACTCCAGTCTGGCACCAATAAATTGGCCTCACAAGCAGGAATGACTGGCATGGGAATGCCTCGAATTGTCGATGGTAGTTTTACAAAATATCAAAATCTCTAGTGTTCCATTACTGTTAAGGAAAAAAATTTGCTATTGATAATAATATTACTATTAGCATCTTTCATTATTATTTC